CGACTTGATCCGCATTATAAAGATCATTACTTGGATGCGGGAATACAGCAGTGCACACGAGAAATGATCCAGTAATTGATTTAAATGCAATTTGTGTTTTTTTGAGAGAACGTATTTGATTTTGACAATCTTTGAGCAGGCCTGTAGGGGTGTACATTATCATTTAATGTGCACATACGTGGGGTCAAGATTAACAATTTATTTTAAAGTTGATTTTATATTGTGCATTATTGGAATGTGCTAAAAAATATTTATTTTTAACAATTTTTATTTATAATTCTGTAATTGTTTAATTCTTTGACACAACAATATTAATTGCAGTGTTTTGCCTTGATTTTATTGAGGTTTTGTGCATAGTCATAGCCATAAATGCAACGGTACTAATAACTGATTGTTGATGATTTTTGTTGCGTTGTTTTTTGTTCCTCCCTTCTTTTCTTCTCCCTATGTTGTCGCATACATTTTCCTTTTCTTCTCTTTACGAGGCCGACTGCGACACTTAGTCCGGATCTGCTGGAGTTTTCTTCTTGTTGAAAAGATTTTTTTACCCCGTTATACTGTTGTTGTTTTTTTTTTAGGGAGATCATTCTAATTTGCAGTTTAAAACGGTACATTTCATTGAAACAAATGTGTTGACACAGCCCTGAATATGGGCTGAACACATACAATTGACTTTTGTTCTGCTGATATACAGTATATCTGCTCTTTCAGTCATGTGACCGTGACTCTATGCTTACGGGTCAACAAAAATGAAAAAAGTCAACATAAAAAATCAATAAATCAAACTCATTCTTTTCACATTTCTCGTTGTTGTGATTGTACCTAGTCTGACATGTCTCGGTGTTTATACTGCAGTGTTCTCTTTCATCTGTTTCTCTCTGACACTTTGATGACAGCAGCTCCTCTGACTTTGGGAACAAATATCAAAACATTTTCAGTTTTTTGTGTTGTGTCTGTAATGACATGTTGTCATATCAAACGCCGGTGTGTCTTTTCACCGTGCGATGACTGTGTGTGTGTGTGTGTGTCGTTACAGTCGGACTGATTTGTTTTGTTCCCCCCACGGTGTCAGGATTCACAGACAAACAGTCGTCTTCTGCTATATCCTGGTTTCTGTACTGACTCTGTGTGAATGTTGGTCTGTGGTCACATTCAGCTGAATATCAGATTGACATCCAGACCCTCCAAAGAGAGTTGATTCCAGGCCACAATCCCAGGAATATCGCCAGGAACTTGCCTGGAACCAAAAGGGACAATTACACCAGACTTTGTCTTTGGTTTTCCTCTGAATGGGATCGTGTTTAACAAACAGGATGAAACTGAGATCAGAATGTTTTCATGGACATATTCAATGTTAGAATTCCAGAAAGTCCACGAACTAGCATTCAAACAAAATAATGTCCGGATGCTGTGGACAAACAATCTTTTTTCTGAAAACAGCCACAGTCCATCTTTGATTTTTCCACAGTCGATGTGAGAAATACCCTACTGCTCTACACACACACACACACACACACAGACACAGACTGATACAGGATATAACAACATCACTGCAGCTCTAAACTATTCCTGCAGGCTTTGATCTTTTTTCCCCTCTTCTTTAAACATTCACAATGTGAAAGTCTTTGAACGTCTCTGATTCTGCCGCTGTGAGCAGAAGATTCAGATCACACTCTGATTCCACTTTTCACATCCTGCCCCCTCATGCTCTCCCTCTGGGCTGAAGTCATCCAGGAGTAATCCCAATGGGAACGAGCAAACCCAGCCACCGAGTCGGCTTCACGGAAATATGACGATTCAAGGTAAACAGTGTGACTTCATGTCTGTGCTCAGACGGTCACTCAGACGTCGGTAAACAGTGTGACTTCATGTCTGTGCCCAGACGGTCACTCAGCTCCTCTATCTATGGGATCACCTTTAGTTGCCAATGTATATTCTTTTTATTAATAGTAATTACTTAGTAATAGCTCAATGTTGTTGTATTTTTTCTGAGAAACAAAAAACTAAACAGTTGTTCACAAGATCTAGTTTTCAGAAACTAATTTTTAACCTGACTGGGCGTTGCCTGACAACAATAAGGTGGGTGGGCTCTAAACTGACCGCAGTAGTGAATGAGAGTGTAAATGCAGGTGTGAATGGTTGTTTGTAGATGTGACCCTGTGATGGACAGAGGAAATGCCATACTGTCTTATTTCTTTTTAAACTGTATGAATCAAATGCTCACCACCAGGAAATCATTCTCAACTGGGAAAACATCTGGATGGCGGACCCTGGGTGGGACCTGGTCAGCCCGGACACACTGCAGCTGTGACCAAACATCTAAACCACTGGGTTCTGAAATCCAGGGAGCTAGGAAACATAGAAGCTGGCCTGGAATACCAGCTGATTCTGCACATCCAGAGCTCCAGCTTCAGAACTGTAGTTCTTTGTCCAATTCTGATTTACAGTCTCTGGTTTTAGGATGTTACTGCAGCGCATCCCTGGGTCTTAAAGCCACCTCTCAGCTTCTTTGTGTTCACTTCTAAGTGTGCGTTTTCATGAGTCATTAAGAGGAAAAACTGGTGTCGGATGACGACAGAGGCATTGATGTGGGATTCATCCTGTTAAAAAGCCCACATTTTATGCTTCCCACCCTCCGGTCCTGACTCTCAGTCATCCTTCATGAACTTCTGCTGAGGCCTGGGGTTTTCTCCTCTCCACAGTCTCAAACCCTCACACATACAGAACACAGAGTTGAGTTTGAGAGCGGGTTCTGTTGGCGGCTCAGGATGAGCCCTGAGGATTATTGTCATGGCCAACCCCAATATTATAGAATTACAGTCAGACTGAGCGACTCCTGCTGCTGCTCGCACAATTACTCTGCGGTCCTGGATCCTGCTGGAGGAGCTGCATCAGACAGAAAACCTGCATCCGTTAGCTCTGGAAAACAGCGCTCTTCCATACAAGTGTCAATAGGGGGCGCTAGATTAGAGCATTACCCTGTCCAGTGTGAAAGAAAACAGCAGAAAGTTTAGGCTAAAAAAAAAAATCGTCAAATGAAATTAGCTTATCCCAAAAGTGGGTCTGAACCTAAAGATGGATCACAGGAAATACCGTCAGCTTCATTACTGCCAGAAGGACCACATCCACGTATGAGATGTCGTACCATGTGTTTGGAATCTCCTGTTGCTGTATTCATCATTAACTTTGGATGTACATGTGGTCCAGTCACGTGCAGCCCACATGGACCAACTGACTAGGACTGTCCTTTTACACTGCCCACGACTGCAGCCATATCCGTCCAACATGTTTACTCTTTCTGATATTCAGCAGCAACACTAACCATTAATTAAATTCCTAGTGGGTTGCAGGCAACATGGGCTGCAGCTCATGTGTGATCTTTCTTTTATGGACCATCAGCAGCAGACCTTGAAATGGGCCGCAGCTTCTGTATTTGGACTCATGTTTGACCTTTGTTCAGAAGAGTTCTCAGGCTTCAGCAGCTCACATTTCAAAACCACTTCCTTACATTGCTGCAGCCAAAACCAACACTTTTTCAAAAACTCCTTCACTGCCCCGTTAAAACAATCCGAACAGCTCCTCTGAGCTCCCCTGAACTCCTCTGAACTCCCCTTCTCCTGTGTGGCCCACAGGAGGATCCGCGCTGAGCGGGGGGCTGCTGCCATCTTGTGGTGATGACTAAATCCACAATGAAAACGTTGAGTAAAGATTTCCACCTGTAGATGTCAGTGTAGCTCCTCCTCTGGATTATTATCAGGCGAAGGAGGAGCAGAATTCGGATGTTGCAACAGGAGATAAAAGAAGGAGCAAAACTTTAGTCAGTGTTTAGTCAAATCAAGTTTTTACAGGCAGCTCTGTTGCCACAGGGGTGCGGTATAGAGTTTCTTTACCCTTCAGAATTTTTAGCCCGTTGTGTGTGTGTATATTAATCATTAATATTAGTAATAATTAGTGAGCATATATATATATATAAATTATATAGTGATTATATATATAATCTATATATATATCGAAATCAATTTTAAAAAATACTGTATTTGTATTTATCTAAATATTAAAAAGGGCAGAGATAAAAATGTTCTTTTGGTTAATAAAACTGTTTTTATTTTTGTTTAACTGCTGTGTTATTTTTATTATTTTATTTATTTTTATGTTTTCTTCCTTGTTGCTGCTGTGCTCACGAGTCTGGTCGATTTGTTTATAGAGTAAGAAAACAATTAACAAACAACAAATGTTTACCTTCTGACTTGAATACTTGGTGTTTTACTGTTCTGTCATTTGAATCTGAACGATGACCATAACACCAGTCTCACCAGGTTTTTTTTTTATTCTTTAAATCCTAACACTAGTGAGTTATTTACCATAAAAAGAACCATTACAACAATAACACAACAACAACAACAACAACAGGGACATGAAGAAGTGTTCAGTAAACACACTGGAGGTGGTGGGCTGTGGTTCTGACTTCTCTCCAGTGTATATACAAATGGTCTACGTGACCAAGCTAAGCTAACAGCACACAGCAGGCTGCCGGGTGTCTCTACTGTAGAACTCACTGTCATTAAAAACAGTTCTTCTGCTTTTTAATCATTTTTTGAAGACCAGCCTGTGGCCCCCGTCGTGAACAAAGGCTGCTTCACTGAAGCCCATTAAAAGAATCTGAGATTTCATCTGAGATCAGACCGAAACCTTTGCATTCTCCATGTATGATTTGTTGAACCTTTTTAAAAATATATATGTATAAAAAAAGATTTGATTTAAATTCCCTGGTAAAAAACTCTTCTTTTTATTTTAATTTTTAGTTAAAAAACAAACCAAATTGGAAACACCTACACAGGGACCAGACTTGCCTCAGCTGCTGAAACATTAATGAATATTTCATTAAAAAATGAATTTAATTATATTTACTTCTTATGAATAGTTCGTTTGAGCAGTTAAGAACTAAAAAAGGTACTTTTTAAAATATTGAAATATATTATTGAGAAGAAATAAGGCTTTGACAGGACGTTAGCTAGAAATGGACAAAAATAGCAGAAAAAACTGAAAGACGACCAAAAAAAAATCAACAACGACCTTCATTTATCTGATTAGAAGTGACGGTTATTATTACTGCTGCTGCTGCTGCTGCTGCTGCGGTGGAGTGTACAAAGTAGTAAACTTTGCAGAGTCAGACTGAGGGAGCACCTGACCACACCTCCCTCTGACTCACCTCTGTCTCTATTGGCTCCTTGTCCTGCGCCAGGTCTTCCTCAAAACTCCTCAGTCTCCACCATCCTCCCCACTAACACTTGTTGCTGCTGCCGCTCCACCAGCTTCACCTGAATGAGCTCCAGCACCTGCTCCTGCTCCAGCGTGTCCTCAGGTATCTCCTGCAGGGAGTGATGAACTCCATCGACCCTCAGACCCACCACCAGCACCAGCACCACCATCAGCAGCAGCAGCAGAACCTCACCGGCACCAGCACCTCCTCCCCGACGCCCAAGTCTGCCCAGCAGGAGGCCCCGGACATGGCAGCGGTCTACTGTGAGAACTTCAGCAGCGTGTACCACCAGCAGAACCTGCAGGCTCCTCAGAGAGCCGCAGGTTACGGACTGGGAGAGTACGCGTCCTCTCCAAACGCCGCCTACCTGTGGCTGAACGGGCCGGGCGTCAGCTCCTCGGCCGCGTCCTACCTGCACGGAAACAGCCCGTCGGCCGCCTCCTTCATGCCGCCCACGTACGGCTCTCAGCGGCAGTTCATCAGCAGCTCCCAGGGCTTCGGTGGACCGGACCTGGGTTGGCTGTCCATCGCCAGTCAGGAGGAACTGCTGAAGCTGGTGCGTCCTCCTTACTCCTACTCAGCGCTCATCGCCATGGCCATCCAGAATGCGCACGACAAGAAGCTGACCCTGAGTCAGATCTACCAGTACGTGGCCGACAACTTCCCCTTCTACAAGAAGAGCAAGGCGGGCTGGCAGAACTCCATCAGACACAACCTGTCCCTTAATGACTGCTTCAAGAAGGTGCCCCGGGACGAGGACGACCCAGGTACCAACCAGGGAGCCACGGGGACTGACAGAGACGGGGACAAAGGGGAGGGAGACACTGGTACAGACAGGGACGGTAAACTGAAAGACATGAGCGAGGACAAAAACCAGGGTGGCCCTGGTGTCAAGGACAGGGAGACATAGATGGAGACAGAGACAGGTATTGGCAGAGACAAGTAGAAGGGACAGAGAAAAAGACAAGGACGACGGACAGAAACAATTAGTGGCACGGCTGAAGACAACAGAGACAGACTGAGAAACAAAATGTATAGACTCTGGGACAGAGAGGATACTATTATTATTATTACTATTCCTACTATTTTTATTATAAATAACTATTAATTTTTACTAAACCCATTCAGTATTATGCAGAGAAATTCTTAAACTAATTTTAATGGTTTTATTATTATTATTATTTTAGTTTTATCTTTATGTAGTCGCATAAAAATTCCTACAGTTCTTTAAAGGAAAATATTTTTTAATTAAAAATACGCAGATAAAAATGTGATAACACAAAAGAATCTAACCTATTAAAACTTTTTTTTCAATAGTCAGGAATCTGTTAATTATGAAAAATTCTGAAAGTTTGAACTCCAATGAGAGACTTAGTTAAATCCAAAAAACTATTTTTATCTTTAAAAACATGTATTTAATTTAACTCCATACGCCTGTATTTATTTTGCAATACAGAATGTTGTATATGACAACTGAAAGATTGTATTAAATTATGGCACAGGATTTTATTTAGTTTTTTGCTGTGTTTTAATTCTTATTATCATTATTATTTAAACCATGAGGAAACTCTTCATTTAAAGTCAAGTCCTCACATTTCATCTGTATATTTTCAGGCAAAGGAAATTACTGGACTTTGGACCCAAACTGTGAAAAGATGTTTGACAACGGGAATTTCCGAAGAAAAAGGAAGAGGCGCTCTGACCCCAGCAGCACAGGAGGATCTGCAGTGACGGGGCCCACAAAGACGGAGGAGGGAAGGTCGGGGGTCCAGCCCAAGCCCGCCGAGAGTCCTCAGCTGCTTGGGCCGTCGTCTCCAGACATGGACACCTTGAACGACAACCACAAGAGCTTGTCCACCTCGTCCTCCTTGTCTCCTCCAGGACTGTCGTCCTCCACTTCCACCCCTTGCTACAACAACTTTTACAGCAGCATGTCCACACTGACCTCAGGGGCCCCTGGACGACAGGGGTCCCTGGGACTGGTGAACGAGCTGTCCAACAGGAACATTACGGCCCTGAGTCCGTATCACCATCACCACCACCATCCCAACCACAGCCATGCAGGACAGGAAGCGTCAGAGCACGGAGACGGTCTGCATTTCAACCGTGGAGTTTACTACAACACCTTCAGCGGCGGTGGAGGTCAGAGTGGACAGTTCAACGGTCACTTCTACAACAGCTTCGCCCTCAACAGTCTTATCTACCCCAGAGATGGGACTGAACTGTAGACAAGCTCCAACCTCACCTTCCCAGTCCCAGTCCAGAGCTGGACATGAGGACTGAGCAGGTTCAGAGAGGACAGTCTCTCAGCAGCTCCATCGACATCAACCTGCGTCATATTGGAGACCCAGCTGCAGGAGGCTGCGTGCCACTCTGGTCCGGTCCGTTTGTCGGTGCTGGGTTCAGACACCTGTCCTGAGTCCTCAGTCTTCTCTGGGTCACAAGAGAAAAACGTCCATTGCTGTGTGTGTGGACTAGGAGCTGAACTGCACAAAAACAATTGCTGCCCCAGATTCAGGCCAAGGACATCAGATCATAGGGGTTTTGTAAGATAAATAAATGAATAATTTCTTTTTTTTTACGAGCATTTACAATGACAAACATGTACATTTTTTTCCTTTTTGACAAACACTGACACTGAAACTTTGTTTGTTTTGTTTTTTATTCTTCTAACAAATCCCCTTGTGTTGTTTTTATACTGAAAAAGCACTTATGTTTTTTTTATAATTCATTTATTTGCCCCAATTTGAAGAGTTCTTAAAAAAGAGAGTCTTACATCCACTCTGTCATGTTGTAAATGTATAGTTAATTCGTCAGCACTGAGACCACGGCACACTTCCAACTCACTCTCACAAAGCTGCAGTAGGGAAGCTTCAATGTGCTGTTGTATGACATTGGTTCCCTCCAAACACTCTAGCCTTCTCCCACGGTCCAAAAACATGTAGATTGGGGTTGAGGTTGATAGTTGTTTGTCCCTGGGATAGACCTGAGATCTGTCCGGGGTCTGACCCTGCCCTCACTTGATGACTGCTAGGATTAGGATGGTCACCAGGCCCAAAAACACATGCTGTGGCTACGTACAGCAGTTAATGTTCCGTATCATTCTCTACTAATTTGCTGAAGTGCCTTGTGTGGAAGAGGAATCCCCACCTGCAATACATGACATCCAACAGTTGGGATCTCTCATAAAGTACCAGGAACTTTTGTAACACGGACTATTTTCATTTCTTTAAATATTGTACAAAGCAGTTTCTTTGTTTTTCCTGTGAAAACCATTCCAACCAGTTTCTGTTTTTAAACTGTCCTCTGCCACTGTTTGGTGCCTGTTCCTGCATCGTGAGCTGGTCTAAAGTTCCTGGCACTTCTTTTGTCATCTGAAATCACAGTGTTCTAAAAACACATTTAAGTTCTGTTTCCACTAAGTTACTGGTGCTGATTCCAGTTCCTGGAACCAATTACATAATGGAAAACACATAGTAGCTGGTATAAGTTACTGCTGTGTGATTGTGCCTTAGGTTCAGGGTACTAGTTTCAATGATGAGTATTTATTTTTCTTTTTAGACTACAATGGCCAAAAAACAGTCCCACCACAGAATTAGGTTCTGTTTCCAGTTCCTGGTACTTTTTCACTGGTACACTCTCATCACTGTGCATTGATAAACAGTGTACTGACTGAATCCACAGCTCATGTAAATAAAAGAAGTGTGTATTTTTGTAAACCATGACGATAGTTTGTAAGTATTTAAGGTATTTATGCAACTGTGTATTTTACTGCTGATCTGCTGTAAGTGTGAATGGAAACGCCGAGCTACAGAGCAGCAGAGAGGAGAGAGCAGGAACTATTTGTTCTGCGTTCGCTCTTGTCTCAGTGTGACAACGACAAGTGAAAACCTTTTGTTTCCTCATGTCTTCCTTCAGCCCAGCGCTGCAGTCTCCACTGTGATGATGAATAAATATCTTCATTCATATCTCCATTCTTCTGTCAGCTGTCCTTTGTAAAAAAAAAAAAAACCGCATCAGTGCGTTCAGCAGCTCCTTCTAATCTGAATGAAAATCTACTTTAATCTCAGATGAGATTACTTCTACTCCATTTCATCTGAAACAAACAGTGGGCTGTTCTTCTGCTTACACTCAGGACCCTCACTTTTTAAATCTGTCTGACCTGCTTCTGCACAAAAGGCTGGAAATTTGTTAATTTTTTACATTTACATTTACATGGTAATTACATTACCAAAGCACAGAGAAACGCACAAATTAAACCTGTGTTAAACTTACATTTAGATCTAGACTCAAGAGTTTTAAAATTGACAATATTTATAATCTTTAGATAATAATAATAATATTCTGCTTGAGACAAGATTAAAGTTTACTGTAGAATAATTAAATTTTATTCAGAAATATTTATAATTAACTCTAAAGTTAAGCAAACCTTAAGCAATAATTTAATTGTTTAAATTGTTTGTATTTTCTAAAATGAATTTAAATATAAACTAATTCATGACTTTGTGACATTTAAGACAAAACCATGGAGGCTTGGAGTTTAGTTTAGTGTTGTCTTTTTTATGCTTTGAAAGAACAGTCGTTAAAGGATGAGGCTTGTAACCAGTGAAAAAACATTATGGATATATTTAATATATGATTTAAAAGAACAAACTATCATGGAAAAGGTTCCAGATATATACACAGCATTAAAACAAATTTCGCACGGGAACTAGTTGGCGAGCGGAGCGGACGAATACGTCCTTACGCGGCGCTACGCGGAAGACATCTTTGTTTACATTCGCGGTTTGTGCTCCATACATGGTGCTGCATTCGCTTCTTTGCGTTTCTTATTTATGGCTCCCAAACGTAAGACACTGCGCGTCTCTCTGTTACCACTGTGTTAGCGTAGGTGAGTGACATAGGTGCTAATGTTCCTTATGTGAGTTCCAAAAATAGCGTTATGTTGTGCCGTACGAACGTCTTTTAACATAGTCTACAGTCAGAACCTGTGCAGTAAATGTCGACTGGACTCCACTGACCTGGGAACAGTTCAGTAGTTACTTCTGCCAGGGGAGTTACACACCTCTGACAGAAACATCTGAAAAAGCAGCATTGTTGTTGTAGCTGGGAAGCTGGTTGAAGCCAGGAGTGACTATATCTGACCCGGGTTCATGTCCCAGAACAACCCCACGGGACCACGGGACCCCAAATACAAATATGTTCCTCAGTTAATGAAGGTGGGGCCTCACTAATGAGGAGCAGCTCAGAGGAGAAGGAGAAATGTTTGATGTACAGAGATCAGCTCCATCAAAAATCTCTGTGATGAGAAATTAGGACATTAACTGTTGTGGAGCTGGAGGAGGTTTTCTCTGGGTGTCTTTAAATGTTTAAAACTATTTAACATGATTCGTTCGAAGCTCCTCACTTCACTGGTACTAAACCAGCACAAAACAATGGACGATCTCCTTCAGATTTTATTATTAAACTAAAACATTTGACTGAATAAGACAAAGTGGACAATAGACAAAAAAACATATATTATCTAAGGTTTTGAAAGTTTATATACTTTTAAAGCTATCTTTTTCTTTTGGTCCTAGGTAGTCTAAGGTTTTGAAAGTTTATATACTTTGAAAGTTTTATATATCTTTTTCTTTTGGTCCTAGGTAACTCCTTCTGGTCAGAAAGTCAGCTCGTCCGTCCACCCCATAGTAAGGTGAAGAGTAACATCTAAAGATCTCACAGTAAGTAATATATATATACAGTATATGTGTGTGTGTATGTATGTATATATATGTATATATATATATATATGTGTGTATATATAACATATATATATATATATATATCATCCCTTTTTCTGAGCCATCTCATTTGGATGAGGACTGAACCAAATCTGCCCACACTGGTGGATGAATGAGGAGGGAGAAGGGCTGATGTTAGGAAAACATCTTGATGGGTAGTGTCCAGGACAGAGGTTGAAGTTTAAGGTTGTGTGGGGTTTGCATGCAGAACAGGGTGCGGGGGGGTGGGGGTGGGGGAGAGTCCAGTTGGGTATGATTTGATCCTGTGAAGCTCAATTAAGTGCTTGGTTCACCCCTGGTGTGGAGCTGCTGAATCGGAGCCAGGTCAGCTCCGGGTTGAGGTGTTGTTCATTATTTTTCCGCCTGTCGGATCTCATGAGCGGCTGCTTGAGACGGCGGGACACTCAGCGGTCGAGGAGCAAAGGATCCCGCCGGCGGGGAACGTCAAACACGCTCAAAGCCTGAGCTCTTTCCTTCCCTGCCGGGATTATGATCAACAAAGCATGTCCCACACCTGCAACAACCGGCACAATGGAAACTCCGCGGGCCAATGGAGACGCAGGAGCAGAGCAGTTATTAGAGGCCCCCGTCGATGAAATGGATTACATTAACTCCTCCTGTTGTTCCTCCTCCTGGAGCTTAAACATCACAGTGACAGTGCTCACTCCATTCAGAAAAAAAGTCCTGCAACACACCACAGAACCACAGGTTTGTTATCCAGCAGCTGGAACGGTTCCGTCATCAGGGTCTGGATGAAGAGCTGCACCGTGATATTACTGCTGTTAACGCAGCAAATATCCCAAATGTGATTATAGCAGAAAAGTGACCAGAACTAAGGCTGAGATGTTTCTGTAAAATCAATCAAACAGACCCACCTCCAACCTCCAACCTCCACCCTAAGCACTAACCACAACCTCTCACCATGAACCTCATTCAGTGTTTCAGTCCCATCATGCACCTGTTCCCAGCTCTGTCGCAGCCTGCTGCAGATGTAGAAGAGCAGAGATGAGCAGAGGGTGATAAGGCCGACTCTGTACATCCCCAACATAAAACATCATAAAACAATGATCTGTCTTCGTCTGTGCCAGAGCTGCAGGTATCATCAGCTCAGAGCGGCTGCAGTGCCAAGGCCTCATCCAACCCTGATCTTTTGACTGCAGCTGTCTGGACTTGTTCAGCAGACTAACCTGGTTCTTCCTCCCCCCATTTGTTAAATAATCTCTGCACAGATTCACAGACCTGCACCAGTCAGTGTGACAGGGTCTGGACAATTGAGGTCCAGGTCCAAACATCAACAAACAAACATCCTCCTCCAGTCCCTGCTGCTCTGTGCTCACACTGACTTTGTTTGTGCTCCGTGTCTGATATGTTTTGGAACAACAGAGTTAGAGGGAGGGTGTCAGACCCCGGGGGACTCCACATGAATTCTAACAGAGATCTGTAGGAATGAACAGGGCTGCCCTGGCCCTCACCTCCTCCCTGATGACCCTCCTCCCTGCCCACTCCCACCCTACTGTCCGCTCCGTATAACCCCCCTATTTTCTTCTCTAATTGGACCCATTCTCCAGGCACTTTTCCACATCACACTGTCACGTTATACTGTGTAATAAGCTATTACCCCCCCTCCCCTCCCACACTCACTCCCCTGAACCGGGCTGAACCACCGCACCACTAATCAACATGGACATGGTCATTGTGTGGGACTGGGACTGAGGACAACACAGGATGGCTATTGTTTCTCTGGACCGCAGAGGTCTGGACCCTCACAGAGGGACGGGGGCAGCACACCCCTCACAGGAAACAACAAAACAAACTGTAACACCTTCAGTTCACTCATCTCTGCTTTGGCTTAAATATGACTTTAAGAGAGGAGGCGTTTCAGACCGAGCCTCTTTAACGGAGATGAGTTCAGGAGCCGGGAGAACTGAGGAGCGGGAATGGTCACCAGAAATAAAATATCAAGGACAAAAGCTCGGTGAATCTTTATACAAGGCATTAAAACACACACAGACACACACACACAGACACACACACCTCCTCCCTCTAATCCAGCCCCCCTCCGGAGCTCAGTGTCCAGAGGAAAAGGTTCATCCAGAGGACGGAATCACTCTCCATGGAAAACTAACTGCTCTGGAGGGTTGTGTGTATGTGTGCCGAGCTGAGGCGGGGGGTCGGGGAAGGGGGTAGACAGCAGTCAGCTGAGTGGAGCGAGTAATGCAGCAGGTCTACAAAAACAACCCAGAAATAAGCGACCAACGTCCCAAGAGGGAGGGGTTGGGGGAGGAGGGCCAAACAGCAGATGACACATGTCCCTAAACAGTCGTCCTCAGGTGTGTCAGAGGTTTCAAACTGACACACAGAAAAACTAAGTCACTCATTATATAACAACACTGGTTGATATTATCAATGTCAAAACAATGTGGTGGAACTTTAGCATGGACTAGAACATGGTCCCATCTGTGGAGATGTTCTCCTGACTGACCAGCTGACGGAATTTACAGACAAGGGTATGGAGAAGGGTAGGATATGGTCTGGGGCTTTGTGTGTGTGTGTGTGTGTGTGTGTGTGTTGAGAGGAGCTCCAAGTGCAGGTGCAGTCCTGCTTCATCCGTGACGCTCCGTCAGCTTCAAATTGTCCCAGTGAGGGTTTCAGACAAGAGGACAGGAGGGGAAGGGTGAGGGTGAGGGTGAGGTTGGGAACTTCTCACCCTGCTGGTCTCCTGCTGTGAAGGAGGGCTGGTAATTTGGACAGAAATGTTAGGTTTGGGGCGAGTGGGCAGCTGGACTGAGAGGCAGGCCATGACCGAGACTCACACTGTGTCTGGGTGTGTGTGCGTGTGTGTATCACGCTACTCTGTGATCGACTTACTCTGCCTTCAAACAGGTCATCTCTATCAAACTTTCAATTTGGCACAGTTGATGTCTGCCGTCATTTTAGTGGCAACAACAAGAATTACAGTGGGTTTGTTGTAATGCAAGAAACCGAAGGACTGTCATCAGTCTTTACCGTACCTCGTACCAGTGTTTGGCGGGACGGATTAGAAAGCCCAGTGGACTGTATCTGGCCCACGGGATGTATTTTTCCCAGGTCTCGGCTTATGAATGCTTGTGCTCACTGTTGTTGTGGGTGTTAGTCAGAGTATTGTTGTTGTTGTTGTTGTTTTATTTCTCAGTGTTGAGTAATTGTTAATTGTTATGAAAAGTCAGAA